AATTATATTGTTGCTGTGGTCTTTGAAATATTCTTATTATTGAAGGAGGTTGCAGGAAGTCCCTCTAGCAGGGAATGACAACAACAAAAATCCCCCAAATCCCACGTCATATACAAAATGTGAAAACACACATAATTAGAGTAGAATAGAGTAATTAGACTCCAGAGCAAGTATCATGGCAAATTCTTCTGGCACGAAGAATTTATTCATACATATATAAATAAATGCATGAATGAAAAGATGAAATAGTGCATATTTGGATGCCTCTGACTACACTCTCTACTTTCAGTTTCAGAGACAGGCTTTGACCCTCATTTTCCTCATAATATTAATCACAGATGGATGTACAAACACTGCAAGGCAGAAATCCTCTTATCTCCACTTCTTTGTTGTCTACAGACTACTGTGTTTGTAACCCTGTTTGTTTAAAGCTCTGATAGTGCAGCTTTTAGCAGTGATGTGTGTTTAGTCGTTTCTCTAGAACTGGAGAGTTTTCACAGAAAATTTCCAAGCCTGGCCAATTTACCAGCCTGTAAATTTCACTTGTAGGAACGCTGAATCCCTTTCTTCTTCAGCAAAGTGTTTCTTGAGAGCCACATTTGTGTTGGCACATGGTTGCAAAGTGTTGCTAGGGGTACAAATGGAACATGCTTGTAAGGAACACACGGAATCTTCATGCCATAAAACTCAAGTGGCTCAAGGATCAGTAAATGATGGCTCACCCTGTCACAGTGTGACATTCACCTTGCTAAGAAGTCAGTTCAGAGACATCAAAATATACTGGAAATCTGAAATGCTATGGTCTATCACTTTGGTGTAGGAGTTTTACTCCTACCTCTAAATTTGTTTAGTGAAATGCTCAAATGAAACTTTTGTCCCTTTCTGAAAATAAATTTTAAAAAGTGTAAACCAAACACTCCTGCTTAAACACAGTTTGTGAAGCGTGTGATTTCCTAACTTTGTGACATCTGGTCCCTTCCTGCTGCTGTGTGTCCTGCTGCCATGCAAGTTTGGATGAGCAAAATGTGAAATGTTTGCAGACAGGGAGCTGGGAAGGGTTTGCCCTTAGAGATCCAGTGGCAAGGGGCTGCAAGGAACACAGTAGCTCTGTTGGACATGGAACGTGTTCAGGATTGCTGGTTGTGTCTGTAGCTCCTTGTACCTCAGCTCTCAGGCTGTTGGCATGTACCCTGGGTGTTTGTAATATTTGTAATATTTGTGTATTTGAGTTTCCTCCATTGCATTAGTAGTTGCTGTTGGTTGCTTAAGTTGAAGAGGCCTTTATGCAATGACTCAAGTGTCAGTGCATGTGAAACAAATAGCTTGATGATTTTAGGAGCTGTGTTTTGGTGCAAGGATTTCTCAATGGTTGACTGGCTGGACCTTGCTCAGTCTTGCCTCCCTTGTTCCCTTTGGATAAATTAAGAAACAGGTTGGGAAGTTTACCAGGTGCTGAGAACTGCGGGAGGGCAGGTTGCCCTGGGACTGCTTGCTCTCCCTGCCGGAGAAGTGAGGCAGATTTGGATGTGCAGAGATCTGGATGTGCAGTGATTTGGATGTGCAGTGATCTGGATGGGCAGTGATTTGGATGTGCAGTGATTTGGATGTAGAGAGATTTGGATGAGCAGTGATTTGGATGTGCAGTGACCTGGATGTGCAGTGATTTGGTTGTGCAGTGATTTGGTTGTGCAGAGGTCTGGATGTGCAGAGATCTGGATGTGCAGTGATTTGGATGTGCAGAGATGTGGATGTGCAGAGATCTGGGTGGGCAGAGATCTGGATGTGGAGTGATTTGGATGTGCAGTGATCTGGATGTGCAGTGATTTGGTTGTGCAGTGATTTGGTTGTGCAGTGATCTGGATGTGCAGTGCTCTGGATGTGGAGTGATTTGGATGTGCAGTGATCTGGATGTGCAGAGATCTGGATGTGCAGGGGGCTGGTGCAATGTTGGGCTGTTGAGGGAAAGCCATGACAGTGAGTTTGAAGAAAGCCAGATTTTCAAATGAAAGTAGACCTAGACTGGGCTATTTCAATAAAGCCAAGCCACAAACTTTAGAGGAAATCCAGATCTGATTGAAATTTCAGGTGTTTAAACTTGCTGTCTTCCCTATCTTTGAAGAACCATCTTTACTCTGCCAAAGTCTGTGGTTATTTGGTGTTTGTCTGCCTCCCAGCTGAAAACAGCTTCAATTAATTAACTGGCAGGAGAGCAGCCCCTTCACTTCAGCCCTTGAAAAGTGAGGAGCAAATGTCAGAGCAGTGATGTCTGGCTGTCAGAGCAGGTACAGCTCATACCTGCTGCCTTGCACTGATTTGCCCGTGGACATAGAGCTGTGATGTTTATCAATATCTAAGATTTCAGGGCTGTACCCAAAATACTCAGTGTGCAGCTATTTGAAGCTGTTCTGCTGATAGAGGCAGAGGAGTGAATAATAAATCTAGCATGGTGTGCCTTGGAGGGTGATATGAAGATAGAGAATCAAAAAGTATTAAATCCTGAGGTGGGATAATTATTTTTAATGACTGTTTACTACTCTGTGCTTCTTGGAAAGTAAGGGGTTTTGAGATGGTGCAATGTGTGTTACTAGCTGCTGGTTGCTGAGAACAGGACTATGTTTGACCTAAATGGAAGCCAACAGATGAAGTTTTGCATGTTCAGGTAAGTAACTTCAAGACAAAAATGCATGAAAGAAAAGAACAACATTGAAAGGAAGCATATTCTGAAGGCAAGCCATCTGAGAAGGTTTGGATTCAGGAAATCTGCTTTATGTTAGCAAAAATGCTGATTTTTTTAAGCTTCCAGACTGTGTTCTATGCCAGTTAAAGTGATGAAACTCTGTTAAAGTGATGAAACTCTTCCAAAGCCACTAGCTTTAGGGACTGCGCCTTCCCACTGGAAGGCCATTCGATCTTTCTTGATTTTAAAAATAGATGTGAATTGCTCATGAGGTCTCCTTCATTTCTTACTGTAGGATAAATGTTTCTGTTGGCAGCATTTTTCTGGACAAAATGCCAGGCAGATTTCAGATGCAGTCCTACATCCAAAGTTTTGTGCATTAAGCCAGTCAGAATGTTTCTCCAGTAATCTCCAGGAATTCCTTCCTGGTGGTGGTTGCCCAATAACTGAAGTCTTGATTTTGCATTTTTTTTCCTATGGGCTTTGTCAGATGGATGGAAATTAATGCTCTCTAGTGATCCTTTTTCTGCTGGGATTAAGAGTTCAGCGTGAAGTCATTGTGACAAGTGCAGTAATTCCCAACTGTGAAACTTGTTCCAGTCAAACTTCCACTACTGCTACTGTATTTTTACTGCTTTGTCTTTTCCCAAGAGACAGAAAATGTGTTATATCTGCTTGAGGTCAGCTTTGATCTGCAAATGCAAATGCACTCTGTGGATGGCATTGAAGTTGGCTGCTTGTAGAGGCTTTTGCTTTCCAGCTAAGTGGGAAACCAGACTAGAGTGTGATTTGTTTCCTGTTTGTGATGGCCCTTGCACTTGTTGTCATCTGATATTTGTGTGGCAGCTTTCCTTTGTGTAGGGGCCTTTATAGAAAATTGAGAAAGGGAGTTGTCCATTCCCAGATGTAAAACTTCTGCTCTGTTAGAAAACTGCTGTAGCTGAGCCACTTGTGGGGCTCCTCACCAGAGGTGCATTTCTCAAACTACATGTGTCTCTCATGAGAAAGGTATTAAAGTATTTTTTCCAAGTGTTCAAAAAGGACTGTTCCCAGATGTCAAACTTCTGCTCTGTTAGAAAACTGCTTGTGGGACTCCTCACCAGAGGTGCATTTCTCAAACTACATGTGTCTCTCATGAGAAAGGTATTAAAGTATTTTTTCCAAGTGTTCAAAAAGGACTTCTCCACTGTAAATCTGGTATTTCTACTAAATGTCTTTAAGAAACTCATATAAAAATACTTAATAAAACTGCCTCCTACTGGCTTGCCAGACCCAAGTATTCAAACACTATGTACCAGCTGAGAAATACAAATAAATGTGGTTTTCTTCTGATCTTCTAGGAATGACTGTAAATCTTTGCTTTACTATTATGAAAGTTATGAACCTCCTACATTGAAGTATCCATGCAATTTTTAATTAGGAGCTGATATTCTTAGCAGGCTTAGACTGCAGGAGCAGGCTCAGGCTGTGGCACTGGCTGCTGCTGCTCCCTCCCTGTGTGCAGGCAGCACCAGCAACGTCTTGGCTTTTCTCTGCTTTTACCTCAACAGAGGCCATTGATAGCCTAGCTGCAAATTCATTTCCATATGAATTTAATGTAATGTAATGTAATGGCAGAAATGTGGACAGCTATATTGTTCCCAGGACTTGGGTCACCCCTGTGAAAGAGGCTCCTTGAGGTTTGTGTTCCCCAGCATTTACCTGTTTCCACACCCAGTGAGTGCCTCCTTAGCTGTGAGAGTGAGTAACAATTGTTAGTAAATTGTCAGAGGTCATCACCAGGCAGTAATTCTGCCATATGGGTGTGCTGGCTAATTTAAACTCTAGAGCTTTTTGCCTGACCTTGCAATATTGCAGGGATGCAGTTGTTTGAGTTATTTTCCTGTCAATGTGCAGAATAGCTTGTTAGAATAGATTGTGATTTACAGTGAATTGGGATAATGCCTGTTTGAGAGATCCTGTGCACCCCTTTTGTGCTGGAGAACAACTTCAGCTTTTAGTCGTTATTTCAAAGATGTTGCAAGTATTTTCTGTAGCTTTCCTCTGTCTAAAAAATAACAATAACAATTAATCTCCTCAGGGCTTCTTCCCATCCTAATTATAACCGAGCCTCTCATTAGTCCCACGGGGAGACGGACTCAAATGCCATATGGTATTTTACACTTCGGATGCTGTGCGTACCAGTGGCTGGAAGGAGGCAGGAAAAGGGGGAGTTAACAATTCATATCCATTTATGGAGCAGGCACAGCCCTCCTTGGACCCAGTTCAGCAGTCTGAGTGCCTCACATCAGGAACTTTATCTGGCCAGGGGTTGCCGCGGCGCGCCGGGGCGCGAGTGGGGAGCGCTGCGCGGAATCCCCGCTGGCATCCCCACCCTGGGGTGACTCAATGCACACACGCCTCCCTGGAAGCACCATGGCTGGGTTCTACGGGTGCCTGAAAAGTAAAGAGTAAGTGCCATGCTGAGCCCTCCCCTCCACCTTCCCAAAGGGAGCTGAGCCTAGTGGGTGCTTTGAAATTCTGTCTTTGTTGTGTTGCCGCTGCGGCGTTGAACAAAGTGGGTTTGCCTTGGGTCTGAAGTGCCAGCCTGAGCACAAAAGTGCAAAAAATAAGTCCTGGCTAAAATATTCATTTGGTGAAAATTGGTCATTTTTTTTTCCTCCTTCAGTGGTATAAACATGAAATATTGGGAAGAACCTTTTCCTGTTTAATTATAGCAAGAGGGAAAATTCCCTCTCCCCTAGTGATTAGCTGTATTGTTTCTATATTAACACACAAAAAGGAGAAATACAGAAATTCACATTGGCTTTTAAAAAATGTTCAGCTACAAGTCTGGCAGTAAATGCTCTTTAAGAACTTGATGAGCTCTGTTTTTCTATAAGCAATCTGAGGTTTGTTTCTGTAATTGCTCCCTGTTGAGAGATTTGGTTGTATTTAAAAAAAATTATTTTTTTAGTGCTTCGCTGGCATGTTCTGTTGGGGTAGACTGTCAAGGGAAAAGAGAATGAGAGAATGCATGTTCGTATTTGTGCTGTAAACCACCATGAAGATGCATTCTGTTTTTCCTCTGACATTCTCCCTGCTGAGGAATGGAACAGAATTTCCTGCTGCCAAACCTGAGGAGTGGTTTGATCATGTTTTGCACCAGCAGACTGCAGAGGGCTCTATTCTTGCAGCTGGTGAGAGATTACAGACAGGGACCAGGCACAGTGGAGGGCAAGTGAAATTGTGTCTTGAGGCTTAAGATGTGAATACTGATAGTTAAATGTGTGGGTAAGTCCTGGATAGCAGAGGGAGGAAAATAGTTCAAAAGCGGAGCTGGCAGCTGACTCCTTTTCCTCTCCCAAAGGTTGGATCCCTCACACCAGAAGTTTGTCTCACATTACTCTGGTGGAAATGTGCATTTTCAAAGGCACACAACTCCTACTGGATTCCTGTTAGCTTTTCCATCCCACATTGACTCCTTTCCTCCTTTGAAATTTGTAACAGGGAATTAGTATTTGGCAGAGAAGTTTGCTTTAGATAAAGGGAGAGTGTGCCATCAGAACTAGCAAAAGGGCTGAGTGAGTCCTGGTCAAGGTAGGTGGACTGGCACTTGAATTGACAAAGAGTAATACATTTGCATTGTTATTCAGAAAGTGGCTATAAAGGCTGGACAGATGAAGCTTTTTTACATGTGGTAAACCATCTCTTCTTTCTTGGTTAATCTCCACCTGACTTTTGAGGAACAGGGTTTTTTTTTATTCAACAGAACCTTCTTTCTTGATATTCTTCAGTTAGGTCTCTACACTTGATATATAATGCACAGGTTATATTCCTCAGCCTGTTATTTCAGCCCTGTGATGTGTTCCCAGGTGAATTAATGCAACTACTAACCTTTTGCAGTCTTCACAAATTTTATATGCTGATTTGGCTGTGGTTATTGGCAGTTAAAATGAGTTCAAGACACCAGCTGCAGAAATAGTGAAGTTTTTAGCCTGAGATTAATTTTCAATTACATTTGTTTGGAGTTTAACATGAAGTATTTGTCTTTCTGGACAAATGTGTCATTGGAACAACTTCCCCAAGTTCTCACGTGGTCATTTGACCTGTAGGAATAAATTTGCTTTCTAAATAAAAGCTCTTTTGGAATGAAATTAATTTTATGCTTTAAGCAATTGGTTTGGATACCAGTAGGAATTTGGCCAAAGTGACTTAGAGCTCAGTACCTGCCAAGAAACCTGCCATGGACTTTGGGGGAAGGTTCCCTCCAGGGCTTTGAGCTGCTGAGTCCAGCTAAAGCACCTGGAATGTTTTAAAAGCTGCTTTAGGGAGTGCTCTCCTGTGCTGCTGTCACATTTACCCCACTGCCCCACATCTTACAAGAGGAAGCAAAGGCTCTGCCTTGGTGCACTGTAATAATGTGTGGCTGAATCTGATTTTGTACACAAAGTCTTGTCCCTGTGCTTTGTTAATGTCCTCTTAAGAAATGAAAAAAAAAGAACCCAAAGCCTAATCCAAGTTATTCTTCATCACAGTCCCAATCTTGGCTGCTATTTCACTGAAATGAAATATTTCACTTCTAGCCTGCTTTCATATTTCTCTTTAACCAGCATTTGCAACCTGAGTGATCTGGAATTGTTCTGCTAAGTTTATCATCACCCTTGTTGCAGAGTTCTGTTTTTTCTTGCTCCAAGCATGGTGCCAGAAAAAAAATACTATACCTGAACAAATATGATAAAACTTCCTAAAGCCTGTGGAGGACTCTTTTCAACTGCTCCTCAGTTTTTGGGACTAGCCAAGCATGTTGTTATGAGCTGAAAATGTGGTTGCTTGAATAGTAAGGTTCACTGATGGTCAATGCAAACTGCCAATTTCCAAAGACAAATATAGTGTGTTAGAGGCTATATAAAATATTTGGCTGAAGGCTTTATGTGCCAGCTCACTCTGGTTTCTATAGCAGACTATAAGAAAATGTATTTAACTGCATTTAATGTGGTCACTCAGGATTTCACAAACAATCCCAGAATTATGGACATTTCAGCTTGAGTGTCTTCTGCTTTGCCAAGCTTTGCACTTTCAGTGGGGTATTGTGTTCTTTTCTCATATTCCATAATTGTCAAAAAATGCTGATGTGCACTTTTATCCTGCAAAGAAGTTCAGCATTTGGGTAAAGCAAGTTGATCGAGGAATGCATCAGTAGAATTTTCAATATATTTCTAGACTGTTTGCAATGAAAGCAATTGCCAGTCTAAAATGATGTTATGACCATGAAATTGAGTAAAATATGTTTTCTGGGTTGGGGAGTGCTCTCCTGTGCTGCTGTCACATTTACCCCACTGCCCCACATCTTACAAGAGGAAGCAAAGGCTCTGCCTTGGTGAATTAGGTGCTGGGTTAGCTGCTGTTGCTGTATTTTGTGTTGCCTGTTCAGATGAGTGTCAGGAGGAGATTGTTGTGATTGCTGAGCTTATTCTGAGGATGGTACAGAGCTGTCCTGTATGGATTGTCATTCTGTTCACTTCCCCTGCACCTTCACCCCAGCCTTCTTGTTGAAGAGGTTCAGAGGGGACGGTGGAAATCCCAAAAATCCCTTTGTCCTTGCAGCCAGTTACACTTTTTACACCTTTTCCATGTTTGTGGGATCCCTTGAGCCTTTGATTCCGCATCCACAGCCAGCAGCTGCTGCTTTAGCTGGGACAGTGACAAGTGGGTTGGAAGTGGTTTAAAGCTCCAGCAAGTGCTACTGGAGCAGCAACTTGGCACGGGGGCCGGGCAGGGTGAGCCCGTTGGCTCTGCTCTGTCAGCAGCTCGTTGGCCTCCCTGGCCTCTCTCCCTTTCCGAGGCTGTGATTGCTGCAGGGGCTGAGGAGCAGCGCTGCTGACTGACTGCAGGGAGAGATGCTCTGGGGCTGGCAGACTGCAGGGAGTGATGCTCTGGGGCTGGCTGACTGCAGGGAGTGATGCTCTGGGGCTGGCAGACTGCAGGGAGTGATGCTCTGGGGCTGACTGCAGGCAGTGATGCTCTGGGGCTGACTGCAGGGAGAGATGCTCTGGGGCTGACTGACTGCAGGCAGTGATGCTCTGGGGCTGACTGCAGGGAGTGATGCTCTGGGGCTGACTGCAGGCAGTGATGCTCTGAGGCTGGCTGCAGGCAGTGATGCTCTGGGGCTGACTGCAGGGAGTGATGCTTTGCTGCTGACTGACTGCAGGCAGTGATGCTCTGGGGCTGGCTGCAGGGAGTGATGCTCTGGGGCTGACTGCAGGCAGTGATGCTCTGGGGCTGGCTGCAGGGAGTGATGCTCTGGGGCTGACTGCAGGCAGTGATGCTTTGCTCTTTGGAACTGTTTTAGACATGAAGCATCTCTCCAAGACTCCAGGGCAGTTTAAAGTGAGACGCTGAGTTCCCTGCCTGTGGCATCCCCTAGCATCACCTTGGCTCAGCTGTGGTCCACGGGCTCAGCTGGCAGCTGGCTGGGCAGCTTTGGAATCAGTGCAGGCTTCCTGGGATCTGTGGCAGAGTCACTGCCCCTGTGATGATCTGGGATCTCTCTGTGTGGCTGATGAATTCAGGAGAGGTGAAATGCTTCCCATAAACACTTTGGTATTCTGAAATATGTCTGTTTACATGTCTTTTTATTGTACATCACTTTAGCATATTATTTCACAAGAGAAAGAATCACTCATTAACAGCTTTTCAGTGTTGGGGGATTTTGAGATGAAAATATCTGAGTATGACAGGTGGTATCTGCCCAGCAAAGCAAGTCCTCCTGTGCAGAGACAAACCTTGGACGAGTTTCAAGAAACAGGTGTTATGGAAGGTGAGGGCTCTCCCCACTAAGGTAAATCAGAGAGTGTGAGCTGAGGTAGAAAGACTCCTCAGGGGTTGTGAGTCTCCTGGGGGAATCTTTCAGTACACAACCTATGAGTGTGTTCCTGTATTAGGCAATTATACAGTGTTTGGATACTTGTGAGCATTTTGTCTTCAGCCCACAGGAGTCATTCAGTGCTCTGCCTGGTATTAAATGTATAGAGAATTAAGTCCTCTTTTGTTATTCAAAAATAGCAGAGAGGGTGAACAAAAGCAGTTAGGAGGTGTCAGAGCCATGGCACTGCAGGCAGTTGGGCACTGTTAGTACAATGGTGCTATATTATTAACAAAAAAATCAACTACTTCTCTTTGTGATTCATTCTGTTTGACTCATCTTGGTGCAAGGAGTTCAATACACCACTGAGTCACTCCCATCTCCTCATTCTGTTCGTGCTTCTCTCGGGATGCTGTTTGTTTTTGCAGCCACAGTGGTACAGTGTGTTTGCTGGCTGTAGGCAGAGGAATTCCAAGCAGGCCTGTTTATTTGGTTTCAGTAGAACAGCCCTTTTGCTATCACCAAGGTTCTGACTATTTGGCAGATATGCTGTCAAATTGACCTTCCCTGCTGCTTGTCCTACATCACTTGCAGAAGCTTGGGCTG